TCGCGGGTAGGTGTGGTACCTACGTACAGGCCCGTGAAAAGTTCCTTCCGGGTAAGTTAATTACTCGAGAACGTGACGTGGTACCTACGTACAGGCCCGTGGAAAGTTCTTCCGGGTTAGTTGATTACTCGAGAAGCTGAGAAGCTAGAAGACTGGAATTTTCAGGGGATATTTACTGACATTTCTGGCGGTGAGAAGCTAGAAGATTGGAATTTTGAGGGGATTTTTCCTGACAGTTATGGTGGTCAGTCTAAAACGTGAGAAGCTAGAAGACGAAAATTTTGATGGGATTTTTCCTGACAGTTTTGGCGGCCAGTCTGAAATTCTTTCAGCTAGAAGCATCTGCCGAAAAACCGATACCGGTAGCGACAAAAACCTGCGGGGAACTCTGCAAAAAACGCATCTTCGCACGGGCAGCCCGTGCGTTAGCCATTTTTGTACATTTTTGCTGTTTAGCCTATAGCGCAGCCACAATAAACAAAAACGCGTATTGTGCAGCGACAAAAACTGCAGGGAACTCTGCAAAAAACGCATCTTCGCACGGGCAGCCCGTGCGTTGGCCTTTTTTTGGTATTCACTGCTGCTTTTATCGTGAGCTACGTAAACTGTAATCGAACGTCAGGAAGGTGGTATTTTCGCACGTGACAAGTTTCTTTCCTTCGAGGGAAAAGTTGTGTTTCACTTTTTTCTTCGCAGCTTTTTATATTATTTATGCTTATTTTTTCAACTGTTGAATGCTAACTGGCAATTTTAAAAATTTTTCCATCCCTTTGCTCTGATAATTGCTTGGAAGTGTTCCAACTCTGCTAAAATTTTCCAAGGTGCTCTTTTTTGTAAAAATTCTAATTGCAGACTTACGGTGCTTTTAGTGAGTTCATTTGGATGGCCTGCATTAATACTGGGCAGTAGTTTCAGCATATTTTAAATTTGGTAACTCTGAGAAGTTGAACTGTCATAGGAAAAGCCTCATTGTCTAGGGAGATGAGAGGAAGCACAAACTTGCTGAGGCGAGCAGTTCTGAATGAAAAAGGTCAGCGGAATGACAATGGAAACTGTAAAGTGCAATGACCTAGAATGACATTTGTTGGCTTATATGACAGTATTAAACGTATTCATGTACGATTCATACCTCAATCATCAATTTCACTAGAGTTCTCGCTGGCTACCTTAAAACAATTCACCTCAATAACAGCTTTTCATGCCGCCTGCTGAAATTTTAATTTTTGGCTTTGGTTACATTTTTACAGTGCGAAAAGTTTTCGTTTTGAATTTTGTTGAATTAGGTGGAATTCTGTTGCTTTATTAATGGTATAACATTTGTGGGTGTCATTGCCTGGGTGGGACTGCTCACGAAAGAGGAGGCAACAGAAGGTAATAAGGTTGCATAGTCCCACCTCTTGCTATACCAAAGTCCGGTTACAAACTTTTCTTTTGTACTGGTGTTTCTGGAGATATGATTGATGAAATGATTCAGAATTTGCTTGCCGAGAGCGAGGAACTGAAGCCTAAGTTGGAGATCCTGCGCAAACGGCTTGAGGATAAAATAGTCGCAAATACGGCGCTCCGTAAAAAGGACTAGTCGCTTAAAGAGGACTGCAATTTCCAGAAGACATTTGAGGGCATAAGTCTTAAGAGAAATAAATAGCGGCTTGCACCAGGATAGTTGGTGTAGTTACACATTTTTTACAAAAATCCTGTTTGGCCGGGTTTGCTCTCAAAGATTTGTGCTACATTGCTGCTTCGTGTGTGCAGAAGTCGGCAGAATGTTTTGTGCGGCCAAAACTCATATTTTTCAATTTGCAAGATCTAGATATACGTGGGAGCTGAATATGAAATTTTAGAGTCGCACATGTATAGGGGATATCCTCTTGAAATTTCTTTCTGCCTTGCCTGGTTCCAAAGTTGAGAAATCTTCTGTCGGTGTTCACACGTGGTGGGTAGGCATATGCGGATGCTGAATCTGAAATTTTCTGTGTCGCACATGAGTACTTAGCATTCTCCTTCAGATTCAGCTTTCTGATTTTTCTTTTCCACTTAGCAGTTTTCTCGCCAAAGCTTCACTTACCTGTAAATGAGACCTAGTCTTGCATGAAAACTGGATTTAAAGTCTTTGGGTTTTTCTTACATGCCCGATTCAGTCATTTCGCTGTAATATAACATTTACACCAAACTAATCAGTGTTGCGACGCATCGGTGTGTGAACCTCGAACTCTAAGCATGCTGCGGAGATATTTTGTCACTTTTTTTCGATTAAGCTTGTTATCCCTTCTTGGCGGTGCTAAGGATAGGATTTTATAAGGAAGCGGACTTGAGGTTTATGCTTTGGCTCTTTCGTCCCTTTCGTTTTGGCCCAGAAATTAAGCTAATCGCTTTTGCAGTAGGATTTTTAAGCAAGGAAACAGTGTGATGTGGAAAGTGGCTGTTTCTAAAAGTGTCTGTAAAGCTTTTTGTCAGCAAAAGTGCCTAGGCTGTTTTTATGGTATTTGACTTCAATGATGTATTGCAGAGCGTAGCGATTCCCATGTCCCCCATTTAAAACCCCCCCCCCCCCTCCCCCTAAACACGCCATTCATTCTGTTAACGTCCGAAAGCTCGTTATGCGTTTTTGCCTATATGCAAATTGCAAAAACGCATATTGGGACGACCCTGTCTGTGT